CAGGCAGCACGAGCTCCATTTTTGCTTCGACAGGCAGCACAAGCTCCTCCACAAGTACTTCGACTGACAGCACCACTGTTACACGTACTCCAGGTTCAACGACGCTTCTTCCATTCACCTCAACCACTTCCGTGGCTGCTCCATCCACTCAACCCTTCCCCTCAGTCACCGGACAACTTCACTCCCCGCTGGCGGCGGTGAAGAGGGCCGAAGGAGCCCGGCCGAACATCGTTTGGATCATGGCGGACGACTTGGGCTGGGGTGAAGTGGGCTGCTGGGTGAAGTGGTTTCAGTGCTTTTTTTTGGGGGTCCAAACAGTGAAAGACCAACCTGCTAGCCTGCTAGACTTTCTGCTGCTACACCCACACTGGGGTCCTCTTGGGGTCTCACCCACACTGCGAGTTTGGGGTCTCTTTCTTGCCGGGATAATTGGGCTTTCAACTGTGAAAGCTGAAGCTTTCAGATGTTTTTGGCTTTCAACCTTTTCAACTGTGACTTGAAAGGACGGATCTCTTATGATGTGTTACCATTTCCACTTGTTCCACTTGTTCCACCGGGCTGTGTTGTTTGGACCTCCAATCCCCACCCCTTCACCTGGCACCGCCCGGTTCTTCACCTCTCCAGGCTTGTATCCTTCCAAGTCCAAGCACGGGCGCATCCGAACGCCGCACTTGGACCGTTTTGGTCGAGAGGGCATGATCTTCCGGCAAGCCTATTCGGGATATTGTGTCTGCGCACCGAGCCGTATGGCATTTTTTACTGGCAGGCATAGTGGTCGCTTTAGCAGCATGCGAGTGGAGGGGACCTTCTTGAGACCTTTTCAGAATATCCGGATCTTTCCCCAGGTCCTTCAATCGGCTGGGTATGTGACGGGACTCTTTGGAAAGGCCTCGCCCTTGAAATTGCCCTTGCGACAGGGCTTCAACCGATTCGTTGGGCAACTGCACCAGGGACTCTGCCACAATATGTATCCCAAGTACATCGACGAGGCTGAAGGGGAATTGAACTTTCCACTGTCTGGGAATGTTCAGGAGAAATCCCGTGAACTTTGTATGGCCAATCCTGAGAGCTACAACTACACCATTGATGTGTTTCATACTGCTGCACTTGCTTGGCTAGAAGAAGTCTCGAAAGGTCCGGCGCCGTTCTTCTTGTACATGAGCTACACCATTCCACATGCCGGCGGCTGGGCTGATTCTCCTCTCATGCCCGAGACGGGGCAACCGGTGCCGGTTGACATGGGTTATGGGAGCAATGGGAGCGCCTGGCCGGAGGTGGAGCGCGATCATGCCGCGGTGATTAGCTACATGGATTTGAAAGTTGGCGAGTTGATGAAGCAGCTGAAGGACTTGGGCATTGATGATCAGACCATTTGTCTCTTTGAAATACCTATTGAGTGTGAGTTGTTTGTGTTTAACACTTGCTGAAATGATGGCTTAAAACCTCCACAGTCTTGCTACGGGCACCGCAGAGAATCCCCGTTTGAGCAGAGAAACAGCATGTGAAGTCTGCGATGTAAGATGATGTAAGTTCGCCGCGTAGCTATCAATCCCCAAATAGATTGGATTGCACGGTGTCCAACACATGTTGAGTGGGGATCTACTATTTTCTATTTATTTTTGGGGGGTCTAGATATACATGTGCAAGTCAGGTGATGCTCTTGGAGCCTTTATTTGGTGTCTTTTCTTCGACGCGGGCGCGAGAAAACGCCACCGCCCACCGCCCTGTCCCGCGTGCGGTCAACGCCCACGACGCCCACTCCGCCCACCGCGCGAGGTTTCTTCGCCTCAGATAACGGTGCCCACTCCGAGGGAGGCCATGCGATCGCCTTCTTCGACTCCACCGGCGGCTTGCCCGGCCACAAGGGCGGCATGTACGAGGCCTCGGTGCGCAGTCCCAGCATGGTGCGTTGGCCCACGTGGATCGCGGAGAACCAGACGTCGGAGCTGCCCTGGGCCTTCTGGGACGTCTTTCCCACCGTGGCGCAGTGGCCCGGAGGGCGGCAGCGGGTGTGATTGGGTTGGTTACGGCTGGATTTGGGTGGTGTGTTCTCTTGTTTGGTCGGGTTTCTGGGGGGTGAATCCCCTTAGGGGAAAGATGGGGGTTATGACTGATGTTTGGATTTGGTCCAGCCTCCAAGGTTGGCAGGTGTGAAAGTGGAGACGCCCATCGATGGCATCAGCATTTTGCCGGAACTACTCCGATCGAACGACGCTGCGAAGGAAGCAGTGGACATGGAAACGGCGCCGCCACTGGAGCGGTATTTTTACTTTACATGGCGGGGTGATGGCGGTCGTTTCAAGCCCATCAAGGATCCCTTCATCAAGCGCAACGGTCCGGGCTACACGATCCGTTGGGGAAATTGGAAGGGCATGGTGCCACATTGCTGGGATCAAGATCTCTTTAAGCCAACACGAAGGGACCGCATGCGGCTTTTTGATTTGAAGGCGGATCCGTTGGAAACCACCGATGTGGCCAAGACGAAGCCCGAGATCGTTGAACTCTTGAGGAATCTGGTGCTCTCTCAAAATCTCAGTTGTCTTTGCTATCAATGCCCCTGGCCCAGAAAGCCTCGGAGAACAGGTGCCAACAAGACGCACTCAAGCGGAGGAAGCGAAAAGGACGAGAAACCGTTGAAGTTGAAGGATGTTGAAAGACACTGGGTCGTTTGCTGCGCATTAATGTTATTTAACCGGTTTGACTGTGTGGATGAAGCGTGTTGTTCGTTGCTGGGAGGGATCTGACCTTGAACCATATGGTTTGCATGGCCCATCGGCGGGTTTTCTCCCTGTCAGGACTCTAGCCGACTCTAGCCAATTTGGCTTGTAATCAAGAAGAATGGAAAGGCATCAGGCTACAGATGAAGGATGATAAAGGTGGACTCCCAAACCAAACCACTGGACAATGATAGTTCATAGTTCGTAGTTCGTCAATCATACCTACTCCTTGAACACGGCGACCGTTTGATCTGGCCTGAGGCAGGTTAACAGGCATGAAGCCTGCAACAAAGAAAGCCTCCCAGTAGATCAACGAGTAAGGAACCACCACAAACACCCCTGTTCGATCGACACGGTTGGAGTCGAACTGGAACCATTTGGAACCACTGGTGACGAACTAGTGGCTACAGTAGGCGACAGTATGGACTGGATTTCCTGGGGACTGTTGATGGACACAAGGGTTAGCTTGCTCGGTTTCAAGTTCGTCCCTGAAAAGCGTCTATTCGACCCTGCGTGTGTGTTTTTTTTTTTCCAAGCTGTCTTCATGAGCATGGGAGTCAGGAGTTCTGGTGAAGGGAGATCAGAGATATGGTTTTGCTGCCAAAAGGAGAATTCCCTGTGTGTCTTGTCGTCGGCGTAGGTACAATCGTTCAGAGAGTTTCGATTCGTTTGGCGTGGGCTGCAACCAAGTCCCAACGAGAAACAGTTCTGGTTGTTCCAATATGACGCCAGCTTGAGATCCTTTACATAGAACATGGCTGTTTGGGGAAGTTCCATCCGCTTTCTGGTTGGACATGCTCAAAAAGCTCGGAAACCGAACAGCGCCCGAGGCTGCGCGAAAGGCGGAGTCGCACGAGCAGCTGGTGAAAGCCATGGGGCGCCTTGGAGAGGGAAGGGCGTCACCGAGGGCGGAAGGAGGCCGCCAGGGATGATGGGGCCTGGTTACTGGTTCCTTTACTTGATTTCCAGCTGAAGAGGAGGTTTCTAAAGACCAGCTCAAAAAAAGAACGACCAAATAGTGCAGAGTAAGTTTGTTACAGTATACTTGTTCTTCATATTTTTATTTGTCTATGTTCTTCTAAGCTCAAGTACATCGGCAAGTAGACTTTGCCTCACGGCCCCAACCGGAACCTCAAGTAAAGGTTTTCCTCTCCTGCAGCTCAAGATCTCACATGTCAACATGTTTCTTTTGGCCCAAAATACAGAAGCCGCATGCAGGGCTTTCTGTGTCAGCACTGCCAAGAATGTGTTCTCACGTACAAACACTTCACAGAAAAGAATCACTCAGGTTCCAAATCTCTCAGAGATGTAACAGCATTCAACCATACAAAAGATTCAACATGTACTTGGGCCACTAAATCAATTGACTCGGGCTACTCAATCAAGTCACTTGGGATACTAAATTGGTTCACTTTACTATGAACTTGGACATTTACCTAGATGTTCGTTGCTAAAGCCAAACACATACGCAAATCAAAATGCCTACACAGAGGCTCAGGGGGTGGGAGCTGTGGCCTCAAATGTAGAGTGGGAAGCAGCTTCTGGGAGTTCTAGCTTTGTAGTACAAATGTAGTGTGATAAGTAGCTTCTGGAAGCTCGGGCGGGAAGCAGCTTCTGGGAGTTCTGGCCTCTGAACTGGCAGCTTTGTAGTACAAACGTAGCGTGGTAAGTAGCTCGTGGGAGCTCGGGCGGGAAGCAGCTTCTGGCCTCTCAACTGGCAGCTTTGTAGTGCAAACGTAGTGCGGTATGTAGCTTGTGGGATTAAACGGGCGGGAGCAGCTTCTGGGAGCTCTGGCCTCTCAACTGGCAGCTTTGTAGTGCAAACGTCGTGCAGTAAGTAGCTTGTGGGAACTGGGCGGGAAGCAGCTTTTGCGAGATCTGACCTTTCAATTGACAACGTCGCGGTATGGATGTAGTACGGGGGCAACTTTGTATGTAGTGCACGTGTGCGGGAAGTGGCTTCTTGGAGCTCTGGGCTGTACTTTGGCGTCGGCCCGCGGCGCTCGCAGCAGGCACATACCACTGAGCAAAAACTGCTCGATCCCGCGCGATGGGATGGGAATCTTCGAATCGATGACGACCACTTGGTCGGTCGAATATGCCAACTGCACACAACTCTACACTATCAACCAGACAACTTCAACATCAAACTTCAATACAACTCTACACTATCAACCAGACAACTTCAACATCAAACTTCAACACAACTCTACACTATCAACCAGACAACTTCAACATCAAACTTCAATACAACTCTACACTATCAACCAGACAACTTCAACATCAAACTTCAATACAACTCTACACTATCAACCAGACAACTTCAACATCAAACTTCAATACAACTCTACACTATCAAACTCAAACCGGAGACACGCCGTGGACCCACACCGCCGACCCGCCGCCCCGCCGTGGCGCCCAGGATCCGTCAGACCTGGCGAGAGGCGCAGGCGCGTCGTGCCGGTGCCCGGGCATCCGAGCGTTCTGCGTCGTGCCGCGTCCGGCAACGGAGAAGACGATCGATGACAATTGATCTACGATTTCGAGCACCGGAGGTGTTCATGAGAGAGGTCAGTCAGCCAGGTGTCTTATTTTGGCAGAAGCATGGGACGTGGGAAGATGGAATGGCTGCTTGGAAGAGACCATGGTTTTCTTCTACCGGCAAGGTTGTGCTCGCTACTAAAGCATGTGTGTTGGAGGGTTCAGAAGATGTGCTCGACTTATAGCACCTACGATCGACTCGACCGAGATTAGGAATGGTACTGAATGTAATGTATTGAAACCAAGGAACCACATTCATTTTGGCAGAACTTTAATTTCTTATTGTGATGAACCCTTGTATAGCGACCTTCCACCAAGATTGCTTGGAAACAACACTAGCTCATTCGACTCGATGATAAGGGATTTACTCGACCAAAACCTCTGGCAGCCTTGATAGACGTTTTGATCCAGACCATTCCCATAGCAAGGTTATCAATGCGTCCCCATTCATGAAGGGATCAGCATTCAGGAAAACATCAACGCCATCACCAGCACCGTTATCAACCAGAACGGTCGGGTGTCACACGTGATTTCTTCGGCAGAACTCTGGTCGGACGGATCGGCAGTGAAGCCAGGCCGGTTTTGGCGACAGAAACGAGACCACTGTTGTGAACCCGAAAAAGATACCACCAGCAGAGATCCCGAAAGGTTTTCAGTCCCTAAGTGGATCATGTGGCGACTCACCCAAATTACACATTTCTCTTGTAATTCCCTGGTCTCTCTCTCTCTCTCTTCCTCTATCTCTCTCAGCCCCCCCAAAACCGGCTTGGCCACACCGCCCCGGGCTGCGCCCAAACCAGCGCCTCGCTTCTCCTCCTCCTCCTCCTCGTTCCGCGCGGACGGAGAGCGCGGAGAGCCGACGTGGAGGTGATAAAGATGGACACGAACGTCAAGCTCCAAAAGAAGGTGGGGACCGAGAAACCATCGCGGTTCGTTTGGGGGTTATCTAGCGCATGGTGAAGGTAGCATGGAGAAGGCGCCAAACACAAGTGTTTTTTGCGTACGCAGTTAAGCGGTTGGCGCAGGGTACCTTAAAGAAGGTTCTTTTACATACAATTACTGTAGCCCTGGCTTCGTGATCGAAGCGTTCAACCACTGGCAGGGATCTTGTTGGAGGTGGTTTTGTTGACCCTGGCCTGGCCTTGGTTCAATCAAGAAGATTCAGCTGCTGGGGAGATCGATTTCCATGGCAATTGAAGCTCTTTTCACATAGAGCAATTCCTTTGGAATTCAACATATTCGGGGGGTTTCCCACAGATGAGCCGGGTGAGATTGGCGATGGGGTGGCGAAGGGCTGGCTGAGCAACCCCCTCGTCGACCGAGGAGCTCCGCATGAGAGTGGACTTCAATAGAACCAAAGGGCCGACCTGACGAGTGAGCTGGTTCCATTGGCTCACGAAAACTCGGGCAAAGCCGGATGAAGAGCAGGATGAAGAGCAGGATGAACCGGGAGTTCGTTATTTTTTTCTCCAGGTTTATGTCAGGCGGACGATGGAAGACCAAGCACATGATAGTTTTACAATGTTTTACAGATTCTCATCCACGTGGTTCCAAGAACATGGAGTTTCGGCTGCCGCCGCGTCCATTCTGCGTCCGAACAATCAGATGTCTGCATCCCAAATCCCAAAAGGCACCCGGTGTATTTCGCCTTATTCCCTTCCGTTTCCTTCTTCGGAGCCAGGTCCTCCGTTTGGGGATGACTCCCCAAACCGGTCCGGGCCGGTGCACCGGGTGGCGACCGTACCGGACCGGACCGGTGAGCGCGGTGATGGGCGCCAGGAGAATCGGGCGTTGATCAACAAGTTGAAGAAGGCGTTCAAGAAGGCACGGAGCGGTGAACCGGTCCTTCCCTTCAGTGGAGACCATCGGACGGTTAGTGACCGCGGTTTTTTGACCGCGGTTCGGTTCCACAAGGTCGCCGGAGACCGCGGGCGGAGACGATGTCGGGGTTGAAGCGGTGACTCCACTAAAGGTATGGGGAGGGATGGGAGTTCCTTTCGGAAGCAACCCATCAGGTTCACTGATTGAGCCTTTTTTGGTGCAAGGGTTCCTGGATCTCTCTCTCTCTCTCTCTCTTCATGGGGACTCTTGAAGAGGACGGGTTCGCAGACACGAATACAGGGCAAAGTGATATGAAACAACGACAAGGACATCGAATATCAATGGTCGATTCGCTTTCAGAATCATGCCATTGCAAAGAAGATGTGGGCAGCACATGACGCACATGTGAGATTATTGAGATTGCATATTTGAGAGCATGAGAGCACACACACACATGACAGCTATGCAAGAGAGGACGCATAGGTGGCCACCAGAGAACACTGATGAGAAGAGAGACATGTGAGAACTGAGAGTGT